TCAGTATCAACAATTCAGGTCTCTGAGAGGAGCCCTTCACGCACTGGAACCCTTGTTACCCAATCGCAAGTATCTGAAAGATCGATAATTTGTCTTATGTTAACAAAACATATTTTGAAATCCAAATTCTCTCAGAAATAATTTTTAAATACCATGATGTAGCATCAATCAATGGATTTCTAACCCTTAACTCAATTCTAACAAAGCTAGATAGTTTGTTCTTATTAATGAATATCATGGATCCCAAAAAGAATACAATAAAAAGAAAACATATCAACAGCTCATTCTAGATGAATGGGATTTAACGGAAGTGAGATAAATTCACATACCACAAAATTTACATATTTAAAGTATACTATTAAAGTATACAGTTCAATAGTTTTCAGAATGGTCACAAGGTTGAGCAGCCAATATCTACATATCTAATTCAGGGGTATTTTTATCTCTTAAAAAGAATTCTTGTATCCATAGCAGTCACTGCCTATTCCAGACCCTACCACACTCCCACGTCCCTGGCAACCGCAAATCTACTTTCTAGCTCTATGGATTTGCCTGTCCTAGGCATTCCTCCTTTGTGTCCTTATGCTATACCCTCTGTACTGTTCGAGTTGGTTAAGGAAGTTTCTGGGGTCATATAATATGTGACATTTTATGCCTGGTCTCTTTCACATAACATATTTTTAAGCTTCACCAACGTTATAGCATGTACCTATAATTCTACACTGACTTTATCCATGAATGGCATCTTTAAATACACTTTTGCTGTGGTGGTGGAGTATGAGTGAGTTGGTGATAGATGCTCTACGGGGGTAATACCTACTGAGGATAACCCAATGTTACCGCACTTGATTTTTAAAAATTAAAAAATATGGGCCCTCCCTGGTGGCGCAACGGGTTAAAGCACAGCACTAAGAAGCTAAAGCCACTTCTGCATGAGTTCAATCCCTGCCAGCCCCGGAGGTGACCACATGGCGCGGCAGACTTCTCCTGACCCGCCCGCTGCTCCCCTCAGCAGTGTACTTCATTGATCTGCCTGTTCTGCTCCCCACTCTGTCTCTGGTGAAGCCTCTCACCATCCCTGCACCTCTGGCCTGTACCCCAGTTCTGTATGTATAAATAAACAAATCTTTTAAAAAAATTAGAAAATATATTCTTTTTTAGCTATATTAGCTACTTATGTCAATTAATAATCAGGATTACTCAACATTCAACCCAAAACACACTCCACACACACACTGACCTCTTGGCTCACATGACTATATTTTACTTTCTATAAAATTTATTATTCATTTTATTTTTATAAAATCATCTCACATACTAGCATCTTCATCATATTGCTTCTGAGTACTTGTGCTTTTCACCCAACACCACTAAGATTCTAAAAAATTTACTTTCCCTCCAACTTGTTAGTGGCTGATGTGGCTTTGTTCCTATCTCCTGGTGATCGGTGCAAGAGTAAGCCCTGAGCAAGCTGGCAAATTAGGCCCTTCACTGAGATTGTGGGATTGGGAGTAAGATTTTGTTTCCAATTAGCTGCTCTGTTGACTGCAAGAACAGCTATTCCAGAAGCTTTGGGCTATTATTATTACCTGCCATGTAGCCTTAAAAAAAAAAAAAAAAAACAAGAAAACCACTATGCAAGAAGAGAAGAAAGAATCAGAGATAAAGGAGTAAACAGCAGAGACAAGAGCTGGAGCACGAACCCCTAGTTTCCCCGGCTGCCCCAGTCCTCGGCTCCTGGGCACCTTAGGGGCTCAGCTGCACTCACGCTTGCTGCTTCCCTGGGGTCTCCTGTCCACTTATGCCACCCCACTGTCTAAGGTGGTTAAGGTGGTTAAGGAGCTTTCTGTAATCTCCAGTTGAGTCCCAACACAATCATCTCATCAATACAATTTTAGCTCTTTATTAGCAAAAATTCAACCTCTACAGCACCCATTTCAGTGACTTAAACTTTTTAAATTATTACCTGTGGAAACTAATTTAGAATAGTCTATAAAAAATACTCCATTTATGATCTGTGTCTATTTTATACACAAAAGCTATATTACTGTAGTATTATAAACTTCATATACTTTTGCAGCCATTTTGCAAAAAGTTATATAACTTCCTCAGAAATGAACTGGTTTTCTGTATTATACTACTACATGTAGTAGTATAATATATATGCACTTGCTTGGTAAATGTTTTTAAAAACTTTTAAAAAGCAAAGTGTGTGGGCTTCCCTGGTGGCACAGGGGTTAATCTCAGTGTTATCAAGCTATCGCCAGCCACTGCAACATTAGTTTGATCCCCAGCCAGAGAGGTGACCCACATGGCATGACGCAAACCTCTCCTGTCTCGCCCACTGCTCTGTTCAGCAGTATATTTCAGTAGATCTGCCTGTTCTGTTCCCTACCCTGCCTCACTCCCCGCACCTCTGGCTTACACCCCAGTTCTTGTATGTGGGAAAAAAAAAAAAAGGAAAGTTATGTTTTCTAAGAACAAATAATTCCTTTTTAAGCAAAATCCCATAGAACCTACCAAAGATTAGTGTTTAGTATATAGAAATATAAGTGATAGCTGACATTACTCAGTAGGTTCATTTTTTTCTCCTCCTGCAAAGAAGCTATAGTGTCAAGCACTAATAATTCCCATAAAGAAAACTTAGATGTAACTAAATAATACTATGCACATGTAATTATTCTACAAGGCAGGTCAGGTAGGCAAGGAAATTGGCCTTAACTGCTAACTTACAAAATGCAGTTTTAGTTGCTCTAAGGCTCTAGACTGAGGGGCTAGTCTACCTACTGCTGACATGGCTGACATCTATAGAGCTAATTCCCAGCATATTCCTGGCATTCATCAATTCATTTTGCAGAGTCCTTTCCCCAAAATCAAATCCAGGATTTGTCACCTAATTGGTTCTTAGAGGGGATAACAGAAATAAAGTCAAAACTCCAAAACATTTTCTTAAATCCCTATTAAAAATTCAATGGGGATAAACAGGCTAATCCTCCAAAGTCTAAGGTCTGGTTTCTGAGTGGATTTTGTATCATACTATTTTATGCCACTGTCTTCCCTCAGTATACTTAAAACTTTTAAATATAGCTCTAATACTTCAGAGTCTTATAGACTTTTAAGTTATTGATGTATTCCAATTGAGTACAGTTTCTTACTATATTAAACAGTGTGGCATTTTCTGATGGTCTTGTTCCTACCTATTCTTGTTTCTCTGGAGCTTGTGAGAACTGTGTTAGCCAAAGCTGAGCAGCAAATACTAGTACTTATTTGCTATTGCCACTTTCCAAAAAAAATCAAGTTCTAAGTTTTAAAAAAATGGCATACACTAGGACTTGTTTGTTTCACCAGCCTCAAAAGACGAATGTAATAAGGGGTTTGAAGATCTATTCTAATCATTTTACAAATGAGAAAAAGAGGTGAATAAGATATAAATGACCTGCCTACATTCAGAGAGTAAGCTGGAAAAACCAGCATACCTGAAATAAGGGTACTCAGGATTCCATTTGAAAGCATGATACAATCTACATAAAAGGTGTGACTAGAAAAGGTTTTAAAAACTTTCTACTGAGAAAAAAGAACAAAATTAAATTTTTCTGCTTTTAAAAGTAATAGTGAAAGGTTAACGTGTCACATCTCATTTCATGGAGGTAAATGATTTAAAAAAAAGAAATCCTTCCAAATGTCATGGTGGGCTTGGCCTGAAGGGTAAGTAACATAAGACTGAAACCTGTTCTTCTCTGTAACTTTAAGGTTTTTCACCATAATGAACTATGGCACTACTGATTTTACATGCCTGAAGCTTTTATATGTCTTCACTTCCATTTTTTATCACCAAGTCTGTAGTCCCTTGGCAAAGGATGGGCATGTGTCACAGACCTGACTAGCCAAGTATATCTCGCATAACCAGCAAGAGCAGTATATCTCAGTAAGGCCAACTGAAATCCTGCTCTAAAACTGACACAGATGCAGAGAAAATTCAGCCCCCTTTCCTGTTTCCCAACACACAGAAGGCATTCTGCAGGAAAGCCTGAGACAGACATTCCGAGGGAAAGAGACAGACTCAAGATGCAAAGAGCTTGTCAGTGTCACAGCCTTGGCTATCATTCTCGAGCTGGTTCCTTTGATTTTGTGATTTCTAAATTTCTATAACTTGTCAGTTATAGAAGGCAATAAGTTGCCTTTTTTTTTTGCTTATAATTGTTTGAATTAGATTTCTGGATATATGTTATTCTTTTTTTTTTTTTAAAGATGTATTTATTTATTCGTACAGAACTGGGGTACAGGCCAGAGTGAGAGTATTCACCAGAGACAGAGTGGGGAGCAGAACAGGCAGATCGAAGTACACTTGATGAAGTACACTGCTGAGGGGAGCAGCGGGCGGGTCAGGAGAGGTCTGCCACACCATGTGGATCTCCTCTGGAGCAGGCGGGGATCGAACTCATGCAAAAGTGGTTTAAGCTTCTCAGTGCTGTGCTCCCACCCGCTGTGCCACCAGGGAGGGCCGATATATGTTATTCTTAAAGCAGGAAATTAATAAACTTTGGTTTAAAAATTTTTTTTGAACCTGTATGCCTTCTGACAGCCTCTACTTTTTCTTTTTATGGATCACAACTGACACCCTACACCCATCAACTTCATTATTTTCATTACATGCCTGGTTCATCAAAGTATATGCATTTGCTAATGCTTCCCTAGGATGTCCCTAGAATTTTTAAAATCCTAACAGTAACTTGTATAACTTGAATTCCAATAGAAGTTGAATGTAAAATGATTCCAAGTAATACAAGTAAAGTGGGATTTTACTTTAACCAGAAAGTGAAAGATAATTTAGGTATCAACATTATAGACAGGTATAGGCAACATCATAGGCAAGTTATGAGGCAAGGTTTCAAAATTTCAAACAAATACAACACAGATATGGGTACTTCAGTACATTCAGTAGCATGTTTTTATCTTATAACACTAGAAATCATGTGTAACAACAAAATATCAGGACCTACCTCCAATAAGGCTCCAGTTTGGAAAAACTTCAAAGGCTTTTCAATTGAATAGTAAAGACTATGATAGCTGCCCTTAGCCAGGTATGCTCTAACCAGACCAACTGCTATAACAAGCCACCTAAGAAAAAGAGAAAAGAAAGCAATCAGGGGAAAATCAAGAAAAGATAAATAGGGTTTTAGGTAATAAGATGTGGCAACAGCAGATATTGCTAAAGGTAACCTCAAGAATCAGCGGTCGGATTTATCCACTCCAGCTCTTAGACACCAAGCTGCAATGCACAGAAATGTTGCACCACAATCGCACCCTACCAAGAGTACTGTGCCACCTTACCCATCTGGAACTTTGCTTTTTGGCAACGGTGCCTATTGAAAACAAGGCCAAAAAGAAGGGACTAAGCTAAATTAGTCCTTGGACAGTTAAATTTGGTTTCAGAAAGCCTAAGAGGAAACAAAATATTTAAGGAAAATTTTAAATGGCCTCTGAAGTCAAAGGGTCTGTCATAATAACAGGGTAGACAGATTATTAAAACTACTTTCGTAAGTTACTTCATGGGATTGTATACATACCTTACACATCTATCCTTTTAAAAGTGCAAATGACATAAGAATAAAAGGTTAAAAATAAAGAATAAGTGGGTTTTCAGCAGAACTTCCCAAAATCAATTCAGAAAAGAGCCAAATCAATACAAAACACAAATAGGGACGCACTTAGGCAAATGGCTGTGAACGAAGTATATTTCTGTTCTATGTGACCACTGCTATCTCTAGAAACTATTAAACAAAGACATCAAGAGTTTGCAAAAGAAGAAAAGTATTTCTTATAGGTATTTGAGCAATCTAGGAAAAATTTTACTTTACTCTCACAAATCCAATTTTTCTTCCTGGTTTAAGACACCACTCCTTATCCTCTGCTTCATTCTCCCTGTTCATCAGCCAGGAATAGATTTTCTTCTTTCCCAATGTATCTTAAAATCATTCTCCAGACCAATGTTCTCATCAATGCCCTTACTAAGACACGAATTTTACATATAAAATCTTTCTGGTCCTCCCTGGTGGTGCAGTGGGTTAAAGCACAGCACTGAGAAGCTAAAGCCACTTCCGCATGAGTTCGATTCCGCCTGCCCCGGAGGAGACCACATGGCGCAGCAGACCTCTCCTGACCCGCCCGCTGCTCCCCTCAGCAGTGTACTTCATCCATCTGCCCGTTCTGCTCCCCACTCTGTCTCTGGTGAAGCCTCTCGATGCCCCTGCACCTCTGGCCTGTACCCCAGTTCTGTATGCATAAATAAATAAATCTTAAAAAAAAATCTCTCTCTCTTGCTAAATAATGTTCTTTTGAAAATCACTGTGACAATTTGTGATGAAGAAAACCTGCCTGGGTACTGTTTCTTCACCAGCTGGTGCATCAAGAGAAATAGGTTCTAGATTCAGATCTAGATCTATTTACTGATAAGTTCTGTGAACTCCACCAAGTCACAACTCAGATGCTAGGTTTCAGCATTGGCTATTTCTGATACCAGCACTAAGGCCTATGATGCCCCCAAGAGAAATTTTTTGTGAAAAATGCAAGGTGTTGAAATGTAACATGACATTAGCACTGATGGGGGGGAGGTGATATGGGGAGAACAGAGATGCTTGTATCAGCATCTGAAGAGCACACAGGAAAGGAAGGGTGAGAGGGAAGGTTTTCACTGGATGCCTTTGTGTTTATTTTAAATTCTGCACCTTGCCAATGTATTACCTATTTAAAAGTAAAAAATGAATGTTCATTATAGTTTTTTCAACTTTTCGGCATGCTTGAAAATTTTCTTGGGAAAACGTTGTACAAATTAACATTTTAAAATGCACAGCAAATGGACTGATCCTATAATCCTCCTCATCAAAACCATGGGAATCAAAAAATTGCAGCGCTGTAAGAACCTGGCCACCGAACTTAACTCATTAGTTTCACAGATGGAAAAAAGGAGCCGAAGAGAAATAAAATGATTTATCCAAGGTCGCACAGACAGTGCCAGAAGCGCTGTGACCATGGAAGGTCTGAAATGAGGGAGAACCAGTGGTGGTGATAAAACTGGTTTTCCAGGTCTACTGTCCTCCCCAAAAACTCTGCCTTTCCACCGCCCGGCGTGTTCACCCCAACCCATCCTAAAAAGTCTAAACTCAAAGCACAGCTCTGTTCATGCCACGTTCAAAAACTTAGAACGCGTTTCCTTTACATTTCTGATTAAAGCTCTGCCTGGATTTTGAAAACAGCCGCTTAAATAAATGGTCAGCTTCAGCAGCGCCCACTGCCCCGGGTGGCAACAGCTAGGCGTTCTCCACCAGCCGCCGGGGCGCTCCTCCGCGCTGCAGGATCGCCCCGCGCACCGCCCCCCAGACCCGCACCCTCGGTCCTCACAAGGCCCCCCTGCTAGCACCCCGGCAACCTTCCCCCGACTCCCTTAGTGCGACGTGTTCGAGGCGCACCCGGTGCCTGCCTGGGAACTTGCCCGGCCCCCCGCCCAGACGGGAGTCCCAGGCGGGCACCGGGCCGACGCGGCTGCCCTCTGCACCCAGGACCGTGGACCCGGACGGCGCCCGGGGGACTCAGCCCCGGCAGGTCTGCTGCCTTGGGAATCTGGGGCGCTGGAGTCCAGGGGGCGCCCGGGGGACTCAGCCCCACCTGGGCTTGCTCCCTTGGCCTG